TCTTCTCCAGATATAATAATTATTGTACTATTGCTGTTTATTCTATCCTCATACTGGTGTTCCTGTAGAGTGATGTTTTCTGGGGTGTTTTATATTTTTTATTGTTTTCTGTTGTTTTTTGTTTTCTTTATTTTTTGTTTCCTGTGTTTTTTCTATTTTTCGTATTTTTTTTTTTAGAGTTGTTTTCTGTTTATTGTTCTGGTGTCGATTTCTGTGTTATTTTTTTATTGTGTTCTTGTAGAGTGGTGTTTTCTTTCTTTCTTTTTTTTTTTAGTTGTGTTTTCTGTTAGTTTTTTTGTGTACTTGTAGAGTGTTGTTTTTTTTTTACTTATTTTTGTTTGTGCTCCTTTTTTACGTTTTCTTTTTTTTTAATTTGCTTTATTTCTTTTCTGCTTATTTTGTGTTCCTGTATCTTCTTCTTTTTTTTTTTTTGTAAATGTATTTATTTAAGCTTATTTGTGTCCTAGTATCTTCCCCACACCATTTTGCCCTGATGAAGGGACCCTGCGTGGCCCCGAAACGTTGGCTTACTTTATTGTGACTATGTGTCCAATAAATGGACATATTCATTGATTATACTGAGTGCTGGTGATTCTGTTTTTTGTTTTTTTTTGTAAAGTGTTGTTATATTTTGTGGCGAACTAGAGAGAAACCTGAACCTTACACCAATATCCGCCCCCAAAGAGCTTTCACTATAATTTTTATGATGAAAATTATTTTTATTTTATAGTATAATATTTTATATAGCGATTAGGTTTCTTGTGCTGTACAAAGTGATTATAGGTGAGGCTAAGCTCACACCTAGACGATTCAGATGTCGAGCTGGTTTCGTGCGGTTTTGATCGCACGGCTGTTCATTGTAAACCACCCGGTTTTCAATACATAGAGATGTCTATGGGACCCAAACTGCCGAAAATAGCGCCTGCACTTTTTCGCGAGACAAACCGCAAAGGTGTGAGCAGTCTCCATTGACTTCAATGAGATCTGTGTTTTGAGCGATATCGCGCGACAAATCGCCCAGGTGTGCACCGGCCCGAATGGTGACCAACGCAAACGTCTCAGAGCCTCATATCGATTCCTCCCCTGAAGGAGCTCGCAGTCTATTTCCTGAAACATTGTCACAGGTTAATGGATATTTCATACAGTGCTACGATTGATCCCGCTGCTGTAGAAAAGTGATATAGATAAGGGGAGGGGGGCAAATACAGAATACAAGTGGACCCCCAATCAGTTCCTGCCTGGAAGAGCTTACAATCTAATTTCTCTATTGTGAAAAATACTTATTTTGTATTAATTTTTAAAGGAGAACTATGAGATGAGTGCTTTTCACTCACCTCATAGTTCTAGCCGACCTGTGACAATGAGACTGTCACAGGTCGGCTCAGTAGATCGGGAGGTGAGCGAACACATACCGGCGTTCGCTCACTTCTCGCTCCTGTCACGGCTCTCTGCCGTGACAGGGGAGGGGCTGGATTCCCCCCTCCGATCCTCCAGCGCTGACTGGCAGAACGGACGGGGGAGGGGGCGGGTACAGCTGGCTCTGCCTCTAGATAGGCAGAGCCAGCTGTCACTCATGCAGCTGGACGGATCCCGGCACAATTGTCGGGATCCGCTTCAGCTGCGGCGTCTCAGTATACAGCTTGTGGTATACTGAGCTTAGGGTGACAGAAGGACGCTAGTTTGTGTCCTCCCGTTACCCTAAGGAGAACTATGGGGAAAAGCCTTAACCCCATAGTTCTCCTTTTAATGTTAGTGTCTTGCTGTGCTGTACAGAGTGCTATAGATAAAGGGGACGGATACAGAATACATAGACCTTAAACCCCCAATGGATTCCTGTCCCGAAAGAGCTTACAATCTAATTTCTCTATTTCATTTTATTAATATGTCATCTAGCACTGTTGGCTCTTGTGTTGCTGTACAAAGGGATATAGATAAGGGTGACACATACAGACCATACAGCTACATTAAACTTCCCGGAGACTAGTACATACGGATCTACAGCAAAGCAAACACAGCCGCTCTTAGATAGAGTAGGAGATATAAAGTGCTTGGCCCAGAGTCTGCTTATAACCTGTTCCAGGGCGAGTGGGGGGGGGGGGCTAGTTAAGCTACCATTATTTTTCTGAAATATTGGAAGGAATGGTGTCACCCAGAGGGAGCACACATACGCAAGGGGAGCATACCAATTTTATGTGGATGGTGCCCTTGCTGGGTGCTGAACCCAGGACCCCAGGGCTGTGGGGCCACAGGGCTAACTGAGACTCTGTTTTTCCTAAATGTACTTGTTCAGTGTGATTAATCAGATTGTCCTTGCATACATGACACATGGGCGTGTTGTCGTAAGGCTCGGATCCACGTGAGTGTGACCATTAGATTTAACCCCTTGTTGGCGAGTGCCGGAGCTGCCGACAATGTACTCTAGTTGTTGTGTATTTCGGCGTTTTGTGACGTCCACAGTGCTGGTTTTCGGGTTTCAAGCGAGGGAGTTAAAATGCTGTCCAGGTCACACAGATGATTGCAAGCCTCTGGGGTTGTATTGGGTCATCTACACCAGGGGTGGGCAACCTTGACGCTCCAGATGTGATGAAACTACATGTACCAGCATGCTTCTGCCTCTGGGAGTCATGCTTATGGCTATCAGAGTCTTGCAATGCTTCATGGGACTTATAGTCCCACAACAGCTAGAGTGCCACTGTTGCCTACCCCTGATCTACACTGTAATCAATGCGCTGTGGATAATCTATAATGTGTCTCTTGTATTTGTTGTTAAAGTGTATCTAAAGCCGAAACCTTTCTCTTCCTAGTTTTGGATACAGCGGAAAAGAATTGCACCTCCTGTCAGGTTTTTATTACTATATAAAGGGGAAGTAATATTTATACCCTATAAATACCCAGAAGGAAATGTATCAAAACTGGAGCAGCTGTGCACGGCAACCAATCGGCTTCTGTCTTTTATTTGCAATGTTTAACTGAACAAACTGAAGAGAGAAGCTGATTGGTCACTATGGGTAACTGCTCCAGATTCTGCCTGCTCCAGTTTTGATTCC